CACTACTTCTATGTTTTCTATTCCAACCATCTATCGCAATACCAATTAGCTACTACTATTCACTACTCAATCATCTACTACCTTATTCATGCTCCATAACATTCACAAATCCTCATTCCATTATCACTTATCCATCACTCTACCACCTATCTACTACCTATCCACCACCCATACGTACTTTTTACTCTACGCACTACTCCAACACCTAATCGCTTAATACTCTATCCACTCAGTCATTCACCACCTATCCACTACTCTATCACTCTACTACCTACCACTACCACCACCTATCGCTTAACACTTCATATCACCACCCATCTACCACTCTAATACCTACTACTTCCACTCAACACCACCTATCGCTTAACACTTCATTCTACCATTTTACCTACCTATCACTCTACCAATCATAATTTTCAACACCTATCATCTTTCTAACACTTCATCTACCACTCTATTCTACTACCTACTGCATAATACTTCCACTATCCATACAACTCTATCGAACCAGCCATATCACTTACTACTTATCCACTACCCATCCACCATCTTACTGATCACCTATCCACTACCTAACCACCTTATCTACTTGCACACTTCCATCTTCCACTCACCTATCTTACCACTCCACTAGCTAACCAACCACCCACATCTACCTACCACTTAACACTCATCTACTTATCCACCATCTACCACCTATCACCTACTTACTAATCATCCAACACCTATCATTTCTAACACTCATCCACCAACTATTCACTACCTATCGCTTAACACTCATCCACAACCCATCACACTACAGCTATCACCTACCACTCATATCCACCTCACCCATCCACCACTCCATCACTCACTACATCCACCTCCATCACCTACTCATTACCTATCACTTGACATGGACACTTCATTTCATTCCACTACCTTTATCCACCACCCATCCACCACCTATCACCTACCACCTAACCTACTCACTTCATCCATCGCTTAACACCTCACCTTCCACTTTACTCTATCCACTACACTTATCACTAACCACTTCACCTCCACCACCTACCTATCACCATAACTCATCCACTTATCAACCCATCTACCACTCATCCACCACCTATCACTCTACCAATCATCCAACACCTATCACTTCTAACACTTCTCTCTATCCACCACTTCATCCACTAACAATCGCTTAACACTCTCATTCACAACCTACTCCACCAGCATATCACTAATTCTACCACTATCCAACACCCATTCCAAAATCCATCACTCTTACCACTCCACTCCACTACTCTATTTGCTTAACACTCATCCACCACTCCATCCACCACCATCCTCCATCTACCATACCACTCTATCCACCACCTATCGCTTTAATAGTCACTTCTACCCATCACCTATCTACCATCCACTAATATCACTCTACTACCAATCATTCTCAATACCTATCATTTTAACACCTCTCATCCACCAATTTTATTCCACTCACCTATCGCTTAACACTTCATCTATAACCCATTCCTTATCAGCTATCACTTACTCTACTTTCTCTACCCAACCACCTATCAAGTTAACACTCATTCTTTACCACTAACCTATCCACCACCTATCACTTCTACTACTCATTACACACACACCACCTATCGCTTAACACTTCATTTTCTACCCATTTTGGCACTACCATTTCATTTAACTTACTAATCATCATAATACTGATCACTTTTAATACTTATCCACTTTCAACTCATCTACCAACTATCATTTTTAACACTTCATCCACTACTACATCCATCTACCAGCTATCACTTTACTACTTCATTCAATTACCTATCTATCACCTATAACTTCTACTACTCTACTGAACACCTATTAAGCTTAATACTTCTATCCACTCACCTATGCTTACCACCTATCACTTCAATTTTACCACCTACTTACTACCTATTGTTAAACACTCTATCAACCTGCATTTTACTACCTATCATATACCAATTATCTTAACACCTATCACTTAACACTTATATCTTACCAATTTATCGACTACCTATCACTCTCACTACTAATTTTATTCACCAACGATCGCTTAAATATTCATTCCATAACTCATTTACTACCTTATCACTCTACTACTATTCAACAATATTCAATTTCTACTACTTTATACCAGCTTCATTCACTACCTATCCACTCCACCTATAACCTACTGCTTAATCCACCAACTATCATTCACCATCTTATCGCTTAACACTCATCCACCACCCATCCACCAGATATCACTTACTACTCATCCAACACTCTATCCACTAATCATCACCTTACTATTCATCCACCAACTATCCACCATCTATCACTCTACCACTCATCCACAACACATCAACTATCACTATCCAACGCCCATCCACCACTCATTATCACCTACCACTCATATCCACCAACTTATCCACTACCTATCAATCTACTACTCATCCACCATGCATCCATCTTCTAATACTCATCCACCACCCATCCACCACCTATCACCTAATCACCTCATCCACCACCCATCCCCTACCACTCATCCACCACACATCACTAACTATCACCTATCACTCTATCACTTCATCCACCACCTATCACTTCTACCACTTCATCAACCACATATCCACCACCATCCACCATTCATCACCTCATCACTTCCACCTTCCACCAACTATCACCTATCAGTCATCCACCACCCATCCACCACCAATCACCTACCACTCATCCACCACCCATCCACCACCGATCACCTACCACTCATGCAAGAACCATCCACCATCAATCGCTTAACTCTCATCCACGAACCATCCACTCATCCACTACTCATCCACCATCCATTACCTTCCACTCATCCACCATCCATCTCCTATCACTCATTCAACACCCATCCACCAGCCATCACCTACCACTCATACACCAACCATCCACCACCTATCACCTACCTCTCATCCACCACCCATCCACCACCTATCACCTACCACTCATCCACCACCCATCACCTACCACTCATCAACGACACATCCACCATCCATCACCTACCACTAATCCACCACTCATCCACCATCCATCACCTTCCACTCATCCACCACCCATCACCAATCACTCATCCACCACCCATCCACCACCAATCACCAACCACTCATCCACCGACCATCCACCACCCATCACCTACCACTCATTCAACACCCATCACCTAACGATCTTCCACCACCAATCGCTTAAGACTCATCCACCACCCATCACCTACCACTCATCCACCAACCATCCACAATCCATCGCTTAACACTCATCCACCACTCATCCACCAGCAATCACCTACCACCCACCCACCACCCATCACCTACCACTCATCTACATCCACCAACCATCCACAACCCATCACCTATTACACATCCACCACCCATCACCTACCACTCATCCACCAGCCATCACCTACCACTCATCCACCAGCCATCACCTATTACTCATCATAAACCCCTCCACCAACCATCACCTACCACTCATCCACCAACCATCCACCACCTATCACCTACCACTCATCCACCACCCATTGCTTAACACTCATCCACCACCCATCCACCACCCATCACTATCTATTACCATTCATCCACCACCCATCACCTACCAATTATCCACCAACCATCCACCATCCATCGCTTGACATTCATCCACCACCCATCCACCACCCATCATCTACCACTCATCCAACACCCACCCACCACCCATCACCTACCAATCATCCAACACCCATCACTTAACACTCATCCACCAACCATCACCTATCACTCATCCAAATCCCATCCACCAGCCATCACCTACCCCTCATCCACCAACCATTCACCACCTATCACCTACCACTCATCCACCACCCATTCTTAACACTCATCCACCACCCATCCACCACCTATCACCTACCACTCATCCACCACCCATCACCTACCATTCATCAGCGAACCATCCACCATCCATCGCTTAACATTCATCCACCACACATCCACCACCCATCACCTACCTCTCATCCACCAGCCATCACCTACCACTCATCCACCACCCATCAACTACCACTCATCCACCACCCATCAACCACCACTCATCCACCACCCATCAACTACCACTCATCCACCACCCATCAACTACCACTCATCCACCATCCCATCAACTACCACTCATCCACCACCCATCAACTACCACTCATCCACCAACCTTCCACCAGCCATCACCTACCATACATCCACCAACCATCCACCAACCATCACCTACCACTCATCGACTTCCCATCACCTACCATTCATCCGCGAACCATCCACCATCCATCGCTTAACACTCATCCACCTCGCATCCACCACCCATCAACTACCACACATCCACCAACCATCCACCAACCATCACCTATCACTCATCCACACCACGCATCCACCACCCATCACCTACCACTCATCCACCAACCATCCATCCACCACCCACCACCTACTACTCATCCGCCAGCCATCGACCACCCGTCACCTACAACTCATCCACCACCCATCACCTACCACTCATCCACCACACATCACCTACCACCCATCCACCGCACAGCACTAACCACCCATCCCCCACGCAACCACCAAGCCTCACCAACAACTACCTACCAATCCCCCGTCGCCCAGTGCCTATCACCCACCGGCATCATCTTCGACCTTTAACCCTGTAGATTCACGTTTGTTGTTGTGCCAGGCTTAGAACAGATGCAGGTTCACTGATATTTCTAGTCTGTCTCACAGTCTCTGAACCATCCCAACTGCCGAGCCCTCCTTGCCATGAAGCAAGTCTAGATTCCCTCAGGTTCAGGTTCTGAATCACCCATCTCACTTGGGGCTCTTTTTCAATTTAGATGGGATTATGATTATTAGTCTATAAGGCCTGTTTATACGGCGAAAATATACACATGTGCAAATTTATGATACCTCGATAAATATTCGTTCACTCAATTACTCATGCCACACTCTCAAATGGATCACATGACGAGGAAAAAGGGTATAAATAACATTTTAATCAGCATATCACCCCACACTACAGATAGTGTCCAGAACGCCGTGTACCTGTGAACACTTGACTTGATATGTTCACGAGAAATCCTTAGAACAAAAGGCTTCAAATATAATTTACATCGCCGTCATACGTCATTTACAGACACATTTGCAGGTATGTCAAAGTGTTCTTTTTACTGTAAAACCCATATGACTAAAGGCGGGGACAGCCTTCAAAATGTTTGTAAGTAGCTGCCAATCTAAGAGCTAATAGCCAATACATGTACGTTCCAGTTAAAACTGCGTAACGTTGATTTCGCTGGTACATTTATGACTGGAATGATTGTATACTTTCATATTGTACTGCAGAACGTCCATTACCATTTTATTAGCAACTAACTGTTTTATTGACAACAACTGTATTTCGTTTGACGCATGAAGCGAGTTACGAGGCAGTGAATGTGTTGACTGACGCTGTCAGAAAAACAACAGCTACCTGTATGAACATTTGTCACTTAAACAGTTCCGCAACAATTTCATCTCTGGCTGCAGATGGTGCATGATACGCTCACCATTTTCGCGAACACATTGATAGTGATTCATGCTCATGATTAAGTCGGAACTGTACATTCCTCTGTGCTGTCAGCAGGTATCTCTTATGGTTGGAGAAAGGGTTATATTTCTATGTATCATTAAACCAAAAGTAATTGAATCCGGTTGCTGAAGACCAATTCTAACCCGGATCCTGTGTTCTGTTAATGAATCCCTTCACAGTAGTTATAGGTGTGATGCGTGACGCCCATTTCAAGAAAATATCAAGTTCGATCTAATAAAGAAAACAAATATTACAATTTGAGAGAAAATGGTCATCACTATTGCATATATTCCCAGCGTAATATTAATGAAAATTCCAGTATGTGTAATGGCTACCCATATGAACTTCTGTTCTGTTGCATTATGTATTTTGCATATTTGTATCTACTGATTTGAATGAATAAACAATATAATAATAAGTTCGATCTTACGTATGCACTTGATACACAACTGTAGTAATACACCGAGAAGCATCAATGCATCAAGAATTTACAAAGCCACTTTTATTCTCCAAATCAAACATACATACTTTCACTATTACGCTGACAAGACCAAAAAGCGTATTATTAGTGATTATAAACATGGTTGTTTTTTCATATTCCAGGTGTGGTATTCAAGTTCCTATACTGCACATTTAAAGCATCATGGCTGTAGGATTGTTCTTTGGATAACAGTTTGTACAGTCGGGTTTACTGTATCGCTGACCAGCTTTGACGAGGAGGAAAATGTATCATGTGGACACGTGTTTAAAGAGTGTTTCAAACAATTGTGCAAATGTTCTCCAAACTGTGTTACTTGCATAAATAGGGGGAGACAACTTACACGAATTCCGGATATACAAACTTCAGTAACAAAACTGAACTTTTCATCGAACTACCTAGGAGAGGTAACAGGAAAAACCTTTCGAAATATTACACAGTTAAAAATCCTAATTCTTCCAAACAACAGCATCACCTACATTTCTGGTGATGCATTTCAAGATATGTCCCGGATGGAAGTCCTGGATCTTAGGTACAACAATGTACACGTTAAGGTTCTTCAGAAATCATTCAACAGTTTTCAAAACACCGGGGCGGTGGGGTAGCCTCGTGGTCAAAGCGTTGGCTCGTCACGCCGAAGACCCGGGTTCGAATCCCCACATGGGTACAATGTGTTAAGCCCATTTCTGGTGTCCCCCACCGTGATGTTGCTGGAATATTGCTAAAAGCGGCGTAAAACCAAACTCAGTCAGTCAGTCAGTCAGTTTCAAAACACAGTTCGCTCTATTGATGTGTCAAATAACAAATATTTTCGAAATCTTACGGAAGACTTTGTGCATGGGCTTTCACAACTCAAATTAAATACTCTTATAATTGAACACAATTATATCACGCATTTGAATTTTTCTGTCATATCTCGTCTGAAGTCACTCCGTGATCTAAGTGTGGCTCACAACGACATTTCTTGGACATCAGCTGATGTTCCCTGGTATTTGGTCAATATTTCTTTCCTTTCAAATTCCCTGACAGAGCTTCCTAAATTTTGTAGTGATATCAATTATTCACAACTTCGAAATTTAGATATAGGTCAAAATGCCATTGAACATATGTCAAATATTAGTTTGAAATGTCTTACAGATTTAGAATATGTAACTTTCGGAGACAACCTTTTTTGGAGGTTTTATTCAAATACCTTTTCATCATTGTCAAATATTCAACATATTTCTATTAACAATGCTTTCAGAAGTTACTCAATCGATGAGGTGCTGGAGGAATATACGTTCAATAATAGTGCAGTGAAAAAGCTTATTCTTTCAGACATTGCTAAATTTGGATATTTTGATGACCTTGTTAACCCAAAGGCACTGAGAGGATGTACGGAACTTGCCTATTTGGACCTGTGCTACAACGCTATGATCTATTTAAACAACAGCTATCTTCAAAATCTCCTTTCTGGACTTGACAAATTAGAGGTGCTACGAATGGCAAGGTGTCAGTTATCCTTTTTTCCCAGTGTAATATCTAATCTCCAACAACTTACACAAATTGATCTTCACGGAAACAGAATTATGTCTGTACCTCCAGAAGTCTTCACTAACTTGAGAAGACTCAAAAGTTTGAATCTCTCACAAAATTCCATTGAGGTCGTTAGTGAAGCTCCATTTCCTATACCAATAAGAAAGCAGTTGTCAACAGTGAACATGGCTTTCAATAATTTTGTCTGTACTTGTGCTAATCTTTGGTTCATTACGTGGACGAAGGAAGAAACAAGTAAATTCATTAAATTCCCTGAGTCCTATCAATGCGGATACCCACTGAACCTCAAATCAACGCTTCTCATTGATGCCAACATCTCTGAAGAGATTTGTCGAATCTCACCTTATGTGTTTCCCATAATCTTTGGTCTGTCCTTAGTTTCAACCGTGTTGGTAGTAGTTCTCTCCATTGCCTACAGATTACGTTGGAGCATTCGCTATTGTGTGCACATGTTGACATACAAAAGGAGGAAGCCAATTGATGAAACGATATACATATATGACGCCTTTGTGCTGTACTCTGAAGGTGATTCCCCTTGGGTAAGAAATAATATCATACCAAGGATTGAACTGTGTATCCACGAAAGAGACTTTATTCCTGGAGAATATATAGTTGATAATATTGTAACCAGTTTGGAAAGGAGCAGAAAAGTCATCATGGTGCTGTCTAATTCTTTCATTCTCAGTTCATGGTGTCAGTTCGAGCTGGCTCTGATCCAGAAACGGGCTCTGGAGAAGGACGAGGGTTACCTGTTGGTGGTGTTGCTTGAGAACATTGAGTCCCGAAACATGACGTCATCACTGTATGCCCTCTTCCAGACGACTACCTATATTACGTGGCCAGAGGAGGAGGAGGATAGACGAGTATTCTGGATGCGACTAAAACAATGTCTGCAAGGATAAGAGTTAAACGATAGACCTCAAAATATTCCCTACACAGAAATTAAACAATCAGGGCATGGACTTATTGTGTGCTGTCTGAATTTGAGGTTTCTTGCTTTAACATCAGCACTGGAACAAACTCATATACACTACAACATACAAGTATACTGAACTGCAAAAGAAACGCCACCAAATGCACTATTTTGTTCTAACAAGGTGGTGTTTTTCTTATGATTGTACCGTTTTGTTAACATATTTTTCAATCCAGATTGACAGTTATTACCAACATCACTGTGTTTTCTTATGAAAAAGCATATCGACCAATCGCACCTAAAAAGGCAGACGTGGTAAAGGGTTCCGTATGACATTCGTGAAAATGAAAATGCACTTGCATATCGTGACAACCCTACCATTGAAAGCGAGTCCCAAACTCGCCTGAAATCATTCTTGTTTTGAAACAATCGACTTACGCTAGATCAGAGGAACCCAAGCCTGCACGTAGGGTAGCCAACCGGTTTTATATGTTCATGTTAGGACAATCTACCGACTGCAGGTGCGGTATCATTAACAGCATCCAAGACAGTCCACACAGTGGACGACCTTCAGTAACACCATAATCAGTTGGTGGTGATCTATAGCCCGTATTTATTTTGTACTGTCTGTAGTGATTTAATTTTACGGTAGCGTACTGGGTTTAAATTTATATAACTGTGATACTCTAGTATTATTCGATGACAGGGTTTTACGTTCTAACTGTATTAATTTTAATATTGATATAAATTAGATTGTTCTCGTAACGATATAGCTGAAATATTGCTGATGTGACGATAAATAATAACTCACTCACCCCAGTAACTTCATGAACGTCAAGATCGACAGATTGTGCGCAACCATCTGAAGGATCACTTCACCAGAGCGACGGAAACAGTACGCCAGACCATTAGGACTCACAACAGACCCATTAATGCCAATACAGTGCGTCGACGTTTGCGCGGAAGACACCTCTGCTGTCACAGACACTCCTCACCGACTCCAATGGGCAATTCAGTATCGAAATTGGCGTTATCCACAATGGAGAACTGATGAAAGCCGATATGTGTATCGACAGCCCATGTCAGAGTGAGAGTATGACTGTTAATGCTAAATACAAGTTATGTTATATTCAGTAATGTTCAGCATTGTTAAACCAGGCATGAATGAGTGTATTGTCCGGTGGCCTAGTGGTTAACACATTAGACTTGTGATCCAAAGAGCTAGGGTTCAAATCCAGCGTAATGGCAAAACTTTTGTAAATTTAATTAGTAAATATATAGCCTCATTTTCATTATTGATGGTCACATGACCTAACCCTTGCACAAAATCTTCATGCAAAGGCTGATTCACTGTGCTATCCACATGGTCACTTGGCTGTCTGCAAATCTCTCCGTATGGCAACACAAATTTTCTTAAACCTCATCGATGGACCGAGTCATGTCAACGATAATAAGCCAATGACTTGTCACCGACTACCGAAAATCGTAACATTGATAAATCCCTGTCGATGCGAGTTTTCGAGTTGTGTTCTTGCATCTACATTTGTTTAAGAAAATTTGCAGACAGTCAAGTGTTACATGGGTGGTCAGTAGCATCCAACGTTTAGCAGTGGCTTCTGATATCCTTGCAAGTTTTACACCACCGTGTAACGTGTGTAAAACGTCTGGAGTGCTCAAGGTTCAAGGGTGAGGCATGGCGTCACAGGGCAACGTTGATGATGATAGTCACCTCTACAGCGAGGAATGGTCACGTCGTCATTCTTCTAAGGGGCAAACAACGTCCATGGTTGGTGGTGTGAACACTGACAGTGGGGGTGTCGGTGATAGTGAGAACACCGAGAGAGTGTCGACAAATATTGGGATGCAGTTACGTCAAAACAGAACTGTTACAGAAAAAGGCAGAATTGAACATTTGAGAGTTTTGAGAAATAAGACTGTTTCTTCTTTATCAGCATGTACTAAGAGTAAAAATGAACTTGATCGTTTGAAAGAAAACATTGACAACTTGCATTTAGTGAAATCTGGTCTTGACAACTTTAATGATTTGTTGATATATTATAAATCATGTGTAGATTTGTATTGCAGTCAACTTGAGGAAGAAGATAGAGCTTTGGTGAGAGAGAGTTCGAATGAGAAGGAATCATCATTCCTATGCTTCAGAGACCCGTTAGTAAGCTGGGTCCTATGTGCAGAGAGAGAAATGGCTAATGAGTTACATGAATCTGCGTCACAGAAAGGTTCAGTGAGTACTAATAGATCTTCTAAGTCTAAATATTCACACCGTTCTGGTAAATCAAGTTCAGTTAAATCTTCACATACTCATGAAAAAGCGAAACTTGCAGAGCTTCTTGCAGAGAAGTCCATGTTCCAAGCTCGTGCCCAGGCTGAGATGAAGCTGAAAGAAGTGGAGCTTGATACCAAGATTGCTAAGACAGCCGCGAAAGAGAAGGTGTACTCTGAGGCAGATGCTGCAGGTCAAGGTCAAGGTCTAGGTGATCCCACTGTCACATTAAGATCTGTCACGACTCCGTCGTCACAGTACAATCAGATCAGTCAACAGAAAATTAACCCTTCTGCAGCAGACTTTTTGCCAGTAAATCAGAGCTCATTGAATCATACCTCTCATAATCCGGGTGCTAGTATTCCTGTTGATAATCAGTCCTCATTGTTTAACCATGCTGTTCTAGAGACACAAAGACAGATGTCCCATGCTATGTTTCTTCCCAAACCGGAAGTGCCCAAGTTCACAGGAGACCCGACAGAGTTTTCAGCCTTCTTCATGGCGTTCGATGCCAGGATTGCTCCACATACGTCAAGTGAGGCAGATAGACTTTACTACCTCGATCAACAACTTCAAGGTGAGCCCAAAGATCTTATATCTGGTTGTCTTCATATGGATCCTTTAGCAGGGTATGCTGCTGCAAGAAACCTGCTTTGCAAAGAGTATGGTGATCCTTATAGAATCTCGACAGCTTATATGAACAAGATTCGTACTTGGCCTAATCTTAAGAATGAGGACAACGTAGGACTCAAGCAATTCTCTATTCTTCTGACAAAGTGTTATCATGTAATGAGAGGTATTTCTCATATGATTGTCCTTAATCATGCACCAAACATGCAGTGTGTTGTTTTGAAGCTCCCGGCGTATCTCCAAAGCAGGTGGAGGGATCGCGTTACGACTATGAAACTGAATGGGAAGGAGGAAGGAGTTCAAGCATCTCGTTGACTTCATCGACTTCGCTGCAAGATCTGCAAATGAACCTATCTACAGTAAACAGGCACTGCTCTCCAAACATGATGATACAAGTCGTAAGGATAGGTTCTCTGATAAGTATAAACAATCAAACAAGTCTCAATCCACAAGTTTCGCTACTCATATCGGAAGTGAATCACAAAGTAAAAGCAAAGGCATCTCTTGCTTTCACTGTAAACAGTCTCACGATCTTGACGACTGCAAGTTATTTCTACAAAAGACACTTTCTGAAAGACGAGAGTATTTGAAGGAGAGTAACCGGTGTTACAGTTGTTATGGACTTAACCACATTTCAAAAGGTTGCATGAAAAAAAGAACTTGTAAACACTGTGGCAAACGTCATCCTACTGCTTTACATGATTACAATTTTCAATCAAGACAGGGGCAACCGGACTATGTTTCAAAAGAGAAGTCATCCACTGGCGAGTCTAATGTCATCACTGGAGCTACGTTCTGTGACAATCAACGATTCAAGGTTAAAGAGACTGTGCTTCAACCTATACTTCCTGTTAACGTCCGACAGAATGGAGGCGATAGGGTTGTGCAAACGTACGCCATGTTGGACAACGGCAGCACAGGATGCTTTATCACAGAAGGACTCAAGGATGAACTTCAAGCAAAGTCAACACCAACGTTGCTGAGGTTGCAAACGATGAACGGAACAGGCCTCATCAACACAACAGTGGTATCAGATATTGTGATCTCCGACCTCTCTGATAGACAGTTTGTTAGTTTGCCACGCACATTTTGTAAAGATGTAATGCCTGTCGGTCACGACAATATTCCTAAATCGGATGCTTTGATGCAACTACCAGGTCTCAAGAATGTTGCTGAAATGATGCCGCTGTATCGACCAGACCTGAATATTGGCCTTCTTATCGGCAGTAACTGTTCAGATGGTCTTCGACCTCTTGAAGTCACCCCATCATCTGGCAATGGACCTTTTGCTGTGAAGTACAAACTTGGTTGGACAGTAAATGGCCCTCTTCAGGTCAAGTGTAATTTGGAAGACAAATCAGTTGTCTGCAACATGGTGGATCTAAAGGAACATGAGAAAGTATCAGAATGCATCACCCCTGACACTGTGCTGAAGTTGTTTGAACTAGACTTTAACGAGGCTGATGTTGGGAAAGTCCCTGGTGAACGAGGCTATTCCATTGAAGATCAAAGATTTATAAAGGAGACCGAGGAAAAATTGAGGTTCGTAGATGGGCATTATGAAATTCCTCTTCCTTTTCGTAACGATTTAAATATGCCATCAAACAGGGAGCAAGCTGTAAAAAGGGTACTTTGGCAAAAGAAAAAAGATGATGAGCAATGCACAGTATCATAAAGATTATGTTGCATTCATGGATACACTGCTGGCAAAGGGTTATGCCATTGAAGTTCCTGCAAACGAGATTACTTGCCAACCTGGACGCGTCTGGTATCTGCCACACCATGGAGTGTATCATCCGAAAAAAGCTGAACAAGATCAGAGTGGTCTTTGACTGTAGCGCCAAGTATGGAGGTTTATCAATCAATGATGTTCTTCTACAAGGCCCCGATCTTGCCAATTCTCTCATTGGTGTTTTAGCTCGTTTCAGAACAGACCAAGTTGCCTTCATGGGAGATGTAGAGGCCATGTTTCATCAAGTCAAGGTTCCACGGGAGCACCAGGACTATCTACGGTTTCTGTGGTGGCCTGATGGTAATGTTCATAGTGAGCTGAAGGAGTACCGCATGACTGTGCACACTTTCGGAACTGTATCCTCTCCCACTGTTGCCAATTATGCCCTGAAAAGCACAGGAGCCAAGTCCAGATCTAACTATGATGACCAGGTTGCACAAACGATAGAACGCAATTTCTATGTCGATGACTGCTTGAAATCTGTGGAGTCTGATGAGTGTGCTAGTGACTTGATAAAGAATGTAAAGCTTGCATGTGCGGATGGTGGATTCAACTTGACAAAGTTTACAAGCAGCAGCAAGATGGTCCTGTCCTCCATTCCTCAAGAACATCGCTCCAAGGAGATTCAAGCCGTTGACCTCAGTCGAGATGATATTCCCATGGAGAGAGCACTGGGGCTGCAGTGGGATACCAAGCTGGATTGCTTCAAGTACACGGTTGACTTGCCAGAGAAGCCGTTTACTAGACGAGGAATTCTGTCCATGGTGTCCTCCTTGTATGACCCTCTAGGTCTCGTCGCACCGGTGCTGCTGCCTGCTAAAAGAATCCTTCAAGACTTGTGTAAGGACAAGGATCTAGGCTGGGATGACAACATCGGTATGGAGTTCGCAGGCAGATGGACAAATTGGCTCCAGGAAGTCGAAATGCTCAAAGGTCTAACTGTTAGAAGATGTGTGAAGCCTCCTGATTTTGGTGATGTATTGTCTCAACTGTTACATATCTTCTCTGATGCTAGCTCCACAGGATATGGTTGCTCTGCATACATTAGGCTTTTTGACATAAATGGAAACATCCACACAACACTTCTCCTGGGCAAAGCTCGACTGGCTCCTTTGAAGACCCTGACTATTCCCAGATTAGAACTGACAGCTGCTACTGTGTCTGTGAAAATAGGACAATTTCTCCTGCGGGAACTGGATGTAAACATTGACCGTGTCACCTACTACACAGATTCAACAACTGTTCTGCAGTATATTCGCAGTGAAAAGAACAGATTTCCAGTGTTCGTCGCCAACCGAGTGAAGCTTATCAGGGACTTCAGTACACCAGAACAGTGGAAGTATGTCGATTCCAAAACAAACCCAGCTGACATTGCATCTCGAGGATCTAGCTGCTCACAGTTCCTGAAATCCATTGAATGGTTCAATGGTCCAAAGTTCTTGAGAATGCCTGATTCAAAATCAATTTCGGAACCTCAGAAAACAATTGAAGCTGCTGTGATGTCAACGTTGAATGAGACAGCGGATTCCCCTGGAGATGTTGTTAGTAAACTCCTCAATTATTACTCATCCTGGTACAGACTGAAAAGAGCAGTCGCAATCTATCGCAGGTTCTTCAACTTTCTGAAAAGCAAGTCTCAAAAAGGAAAGCCCTCAGCTAACGCTCTTTTGTCACTTCAAGAACTCATAGACTCCGAGAAGAGTATTCTTTCCTTTGTTCAGCACATGGAGTATGGCTCAGAAATCGCAATCCTCTCTAAGAACACAGAAATGGGTTATCGACCCACTGTACTACCAAGAAGTAGTCCTGTCCGCAATCTCTGCCCATGCTTTGTGGATGGTTTACTCAGAGTTGGAGGTCGTTTGAGCAATGCCAACATCAGCGACACCATGAAGCATCCTGTCCTATTGCCACGTAAGTCTCCTCTATCCGATCTGATTGTTCGTGATGTACACGAGAGACTAGGTCATGCTGGTAGAAACCATGTCCTGTCTGCACTAAGAGAGGAATTTTGGATTACAAACGCTAATTCTGCTGTCAGAAGTATTTTGAACAAATGTGTACTTTGTAGGAGATTAAAGATGTCCACCGGTCAGCAGATTATGTCCGATCTCCCGACCAACAGGGTACAGCCATCTCCACCATTCACCTGCACTGGACTAGATTGTTTTGGCCCTCACACTGTCAGAGAAGGACGCAAGGAAGTAAAACGGTATGGTGTCCTGTTTACTTGCATGGTTAGCAGAGCTGTTCACATAGAGACTGCCAACTCCTTCAATACAGACTCCTTTATTAATGCTCTTAAACGTTTTATCGCCCGCAGAGGAGCTGTGAAAGAGATCTCTTGTGACAACGGCACAAACTTCACTAGTGGAGCCAAGGAACTTTGTCATGCACTTGATGAAATCGACCAGTCTGAAGTTCACAATTACTTGTTGAAACTGAACATCATCTGGAAATTCAACCCACCTTCAGCCAGTCATATGGGAGGTGTATGGGAAAGGCTGATACGGTCTGTCCGTGGTGTTCTCAGCCCGCTTCTCCAAGAATACAGTCAACGCCTTGATGATGAGCTGTATAGAACACTCCTGTGTGAAGTTGAGTCGATTTTGAATTCTAGGCCTCTGACAACAATGTCCAGTGATCCGTCAGATGTAGAACCATTGACACCCAACCATTTGCTGATGGTAAGATCCAGTGCGTACATTCCACCACCTGGAGTATTTCAGGCATCTGATGTCTACGCACGCCGCCGATGGAGACGTGTACAGTACTTGGCAGAGCTTTTCTGGAGTAGATGGAGAAAGGAGTACCTTTTAACACTTCAGAAACGTCAAAATGGCAAGCTCAAAAAGGAACTTCAAGGTAAACGATATTGTTCTGGTCAAGGACGATAACCTCCCCAGGAATGCTTGGCTCATGGCTCGCGTTGTGGACACTGAACCCGACAGTCGTGGCTTTGTCAGAAGTGTGACCCTCAAGACAAGAGGTTCAGATCTCCGAAGGCCAATTCACAAACTAGTATTGCTCGTACCTGCTGCAGAATAAGTTGATTATCTCAGGTATTAAGTGTTGTCAAGACCAGTTAGGTATTCCGCATTATCTGTCTCCATTCCGTGTTTAACCGTTTCCCGGTCGTTCCCAGCCAAAGGTTAGGAACAGTCGTGCAAAATGTGCTCCACTGATGGATAAAAATGTTAACATTACGGGTCAAGTCAGTTTTGGACAGTGAAGCAGTGTTCAGTAACGCGTATGAACACCATGAGCACAAATGCAGTCTTCTACACATATTTGCATTGACCAAGTGAGCCTTTAAAGTTGCTGTTGTGGAATGTTCTGCCATTCTCTCTGTAATGCCTGCTCAAGGTCATCCAGAGTCTTGGGGTGAACATGGAGACCATAAACACGACGTCCAATAATGCCCGAAGCATGTTCAATGGGATCAAGATGAAGTGACCTTGCAGGCCAGTCCATATGTGTGATGTTGTTGATCTAAACAATATCTATAACAACTCTTTCTCAGGCATTATCATCCATGGACGGGCATTATCATCCATAAAAAGGAAGTTAGGACCCGTTTGTTGTACTAAAGGAATGATTACAGGTAGGTTTACACCGACCAAGGTGCATGTGTGAAGAGTGGAGCACATTCATGCCACACATTTTGCATGTTGATTCTGAGGGTGGTTGTTCGGGTGATGTTGTCAATGTCATCAGATAAATCAATTTGACAGTCACTAAAGGTTATGTATTCTTTGAATATTTACCTTTCAGTAACATGTCAGCAAAAATCGCTATCGAGATTGATAAAGATATTACACTGAAAATACTTGTTGCTTAATTTTTTGTGAGGAGTATATGTTATTGTTTCTCATCTCGAAACGGTCCCGTGAAGATCCGGATTGGAATTGATCTTCAATAACCCATGCTTACCGAAAGAGGCAACTAACGAGATCGGGTGGTCGCTGATTTGGTTGCCATCGTATCCCAACTGCGTAGATCGATGCTCATGCTGTTGATCACTGGATTGTCTGGTCCAGACCGATTATTTACAGACCGCCGCCATATACCTGGAGTGATGCTGAGTGCGGCATAAAACTAACCTCACTCGACTCAAAACTCATTACTGTTAGTTAATCTTAATAGTAGGTATGTATATTCATACTATACCTACCATCCATGTTGCGTTTATATAAAACTTGTTATTTTCAGTTCATGATACTTCTTCAGGCACATTTTATGACAGTCATATATCCTATTACATGTTGTGTTGACGTGTGTTTATCTAGCCGGGACGTTTTCCTCGTTTTAGAGTTCTCCCACATAGGCGCTGATAATGAGATATCTCAATGTTAAATGTGCGTTTCATTTGAACCCGCCTGAGTTTAGACTAAGACGCCAGTATTAACAGACCAACTACTTTGTGTAATAATTTGTAATTCAGAAATCTGATCCTGATCCTGATCCTGATTCCTGGGAATTATTCGGATATTACGAGGACTGAAAGGTCAGTGTTTTACTCTTACATATATCCAATATGCATACAGACGACCACATTTTCCTTTTGAGTAACGATATTTCATTCTATTGATATAGCGCTTACGGGTGATTTGTACAGAGTTCCGTCCCTTTTCCCGCCTGAGTTTAAACCAAGACGCCAACATTATATTAACACAACAACTACCTTGTGCAATAATTTGTAATTCAGTTCTTGTTCAACTGATAGATGATGATCAAAAAGGTTTCATGTCAGACAGATATATCAGGGAAATTACAAGACTAATTTACAACCTAATGGAATATACAGAATTCCATCAAATACCAGGTCTTCTGTTACCTATTGATTTGGAAAAAGCTTTCGATACGGTAGATGGTCATTTATTGATAAAACATTATCCTTTTTCAACTTTTGCGAATCAATTCGAAGATGGTTCAGAATTCTACATCAAGGTTTTGAATCAGATGTTCTTATTAATGGTTATGGAACGGATATGTTTGATATTCAAAGAGGTTGTCGCCATGGAAATCCACTCTCCCCCTATATCTTTATCTTATGTGCGGAAATATTAGCAATTTGGATACGAAACAACAAAAATATCAAGGATATTTCGATTGGAAACATTGAATATTTACTGAATCAATTCGCTGACGACACAACATATGCCTTGGGTGGTCCAGAACGTTGTATCTATGCATTATTCAATGTGCTAGATTTCTTCGCCAGATTTTCAGGTTGGAAGGTTAACATCGACAACACACGCCTCATTTGGATAGGATCAAAGAAAAGATTAAAAAATGAAACTATGTTCAGAACTAAATCTTAACTGCGACCAGGATGACTTTAGTCTTCTTGGAATCACTTTTACTCAAGACATAGATGATATGGTAGAGATAAATTACAAAGAAAAAATAAGACGCTGTGAAACGTTAATGTCCATATGGTCTGCGCGTAATCTGACTAAATTTGGAAGAAACACTGTTTTAAAATCTTTGATCATCCCAAAGCTAAAACTTTTATTTAGTACGCTTCCTGACCCAGATAATGAAACTACAAATAAATTCCAACAGAAATGTTTTAAATATATCTGGAACAATAAACCTGATAAAATTAAGGGAAGCCAAATTATCTGTGACAAACAAGATGGAGGATTTAATATGCCAAATATAAAGACATTAATGCAGGCTCAGAAACTATCAATGGTCAAAAGGTTTTCAGACGTAAGTCCAGTTGGTGCTATCTATTTATTTCTAATTTCCCAAAGTTTGGCGCTGGTTGTGTATTCGATATCTGGCGGAGGAATGTCTCCCACTGATCCATAATAAATATTATAGGGGTGTTTCAACTGCTTGGTGGCAATTTATATCTCGGAATGAAGCTGACCAAGACGTAAATGATACAAATATTTGTGTAGGATGTAAAAGAGTTTTTTACAAACAGTGGTTTGATAAAGGAGTTCGATGACTTAAATGATAATATATACTGCTTTGGCAGTTTTGAAAAAATATTTTACTCTAAAAACTGATTTTTCTAACATTTACTGGTCTCATTAGATCAGCAAGGTCATATTTGAAAACAATTAACATAGATTTTAGGACTCTGTCAAAAATACCATACCCAACTTTACCAGTAAATATAAAACAGCTCCTCAAGAATGCACAACGGGGACACAACGGTTTTACAGAACATTATTTTCAAAAGTTACTACAAAAAAATTACTTTGCCAAAAATGGGAGCAAATGCATTTAAGATCGGGTATATAGAGAATTCAAAATGCAGTTTCTGCCAAGACGAAAATGAGATACTTGATGACATTTTCTGGTCTTGCAGTAAAGTTAACCATATCTAGCAAAAACTTGAAATCTGGCTAATTCGTAAAGCTCTTATCAATATCAAAATAACAACAAAAAAGCAAATATTACTTGGTTTCCCAGATAAAAAAAATGACCCTCTCATTATCATTTTTATTATCTTTAAAACCTAAGTTTTGGAAGCAAATTAAAAAACAGTGTACCACCTTTTCATCTTTTCCAAAATGAAATTAGACATTATTCTCTGATAACAAAGTGCTCTTCTTTAATGGAGTGTAATATCAGCGCCTTTTATACGTTTTGGTCTTCAAGTCATGAACTGTTCACATAATTTGTAAGTCATATGCTTGTTGAACTGTAACCTGAATGTCCTTTGTTGAGTTTTCTGAATAGTCTGTAATAAATTTTAAATTTGTTTTTTAATTAATAGCCAGTACGCTCCCGTTAAAAATGCGTAACGTTCACTTCGTTGGTGCATTTATGACAGGAACGATTGTATATACTTCTAAAACGTCCACTAACTTTTCATTATCAACTAAATGTTTTATTGACAACAATTGTGTATCGGTAGACACATGATGCGAGTCACGAGGCAGTAAATATGTGTTAAGTTACAATGTCAGCTAAACAACAGCTACATGTATGAACATTTGCCACTTAAACAGTTCCGCAACATTTTCACCTTTGGCTGCATGATAGGCTCACCCTTTTCGCGAACATTATATCATCACTATTTGATAGGGAATCATAAACACATGCTCATGATGAACTCGGAACTGTACAAACATAATTTTGATATGAATATAAATACGTGGGTAATAGTAATACGTGAGTTAATAACCATAGATGTTGCGGTACTGTTTTGCATTTATACAGAATAAAATCACTTCAAACCGTATCAGCAGTATCCATGGTTGCGGTCCAAGAAGTGTCTGAAATTATCATAGGGCTTGTTTCCAATTTCAGATTTCAAATAAGGAGCAGTCTTACATCTTAGCGTCCGAGGATTTAACACAGCTATTGGAAAAGGTATGGCGCGTCTTCTGGAGATAACAATTTGTGCTATGGCTTGCGCTATAGCATTGACGTCTAACGCGGAAGGGGAGACTGTTGTTTGTGGAAATGTGTCTAGACCTTGTTTTGAATGTCTGTGTAGCTGTTCAGCTAAATGTGTCAGATGTATAAACAACGGGGCGAATCTCACACAGATTCCAGACTTGCAACCGACAACGGAGTTTCTGAACTTTTCATCAAACCATCTTGGAGAGCTAACTAGAGACATGTTTCGAAATATATCACAGTTGAAAATTCTGATACTCCGCAACAACAGTATCACAAACATCTCCAGAGACGCATTTCAAGACATGTTGATGCTAGAGATTCTTGATCTTAGATACAGTAGAGTGTCTGAAAGTGTGCTACAGAAATCATTTTATAGTTTGCAAAACAACCTCAGATCTCTTGACCTTTCAGCAAACAGGTTTTTGCGGAATATTACAGATGATTTTATAGATGGGCTTACACGACTGAACATACACGTTTTCAAAATGGAGTTTTGTCGAATCAAATATGTCAACTTTTCCGTGATATCTCGTCTGAAGTCACTAAGAACTTTAAGCTTTGTTCACAATGACATATTTTGGACAACAGCTGATGTTCCCTCTCATTTAACTCATATCTCGCTCCGATCAAATTCACTGACCCAGCTTCCTGGATTGTGTGTTCATACAAATAGTTCACAACTTCAATCACTAGATATACGCGAAAATGCAATAAGATACATCTCAAATGCTAGTTTGAAATGTCTAAAGAAACTGGATTATTTTAATGCCATAGAAAATTTAATATTGAAGATTCATTCAAATACATTTTCTTCATTACCAAAACTTCAGTTTATTGCAATAAGCAATGCATTCAGGAGTTACTTTCCCCAAAAAAGACTCGAGGAATATGCTTTTAATAACAGTGCTGTTAAAAAACTTTACCTCAGTGGAATTGCAAAATTTGGTTATTTCGATTCTATTGTTAGCCCAAAAGCACTCCGAGGATGCACGGGACTAACATGGCTGGACCTATCCTACAATACTATGCTATACTTTAATGATAGCTTTTTAGAAACAGTCTTTTATCGAATTCAAAAATTAGAGGTGCTACGAATGCCAAGGTGCCAGTTATCATTTTTTCCAAAGGTAATATCGAACCTCCGGGAACTGAAGGAAATCGATCTTCATGGAAACCGAATTATGTTTTTACCTTCAGGAGTGTTCACAAGCTTGACGAAACTAAGACGTATACGACTTTCACAAAATTCCATTCAGATCGTCAGTGAAGACGTATTTCCAATACCAATCAGAAACCAGCTCACATACTTGAATTTGGCAACAAATGATTATCTCTGCACTTGCGCTAATCTTTGGTACATTACATGGGCAAAGGCAGACAAACATATATTCACGGACTTTCCTGAGTCCTATCAATGCGGATACCCACTGAACCTCAAATCAACGCTTCTCATTGATGCCAACATCTCTGAACAGACTTGTCGAATCTCACCTTATGTGTTTCCCATAGTCTTTGGTCTGTCCTTAGTTTCAATCGTGTTGGTAGTAGTTCTCTCCATTGCCTACAGATTACGTTGGAGCATTCGCTATTGTTTGCACATGTTGAGATACAAAAGGAGGAAGCCAATTGATGAAACGATATACATATATGACGCCTTTGTGCTGTACTGTGAAGGTGATTCCCCTTGGGTAAGAAATAATATCATACCAAGGATTGAAGATGAAGCCAACTTTAAACTGTGTATCCACGAAAGAGACTTTATTCCTGGGGAATATATAGTTGATAACATTGTAACCAGTTTGGAAAGCAGCAGAAAAGTCATCATGGTGCTGTCTAATTCTTTCATTCTCAGTTCATGGTGTCAGTTCGAGCTGGCTCTGATCCAGAAACGGGCTCTGGAGAAGGACGAGGGTTACCTGTTGGTGGTGTTGCTTGAGAACATTGAGTCCCGAAACATGACGTCATCACTGTATGCCCTCTTCCAGACGACTACCTATATTACGTGGCCAGAGGAAGAAGAAGATAGACATGTATTCTGGATGCGACTAAAACAAAGTTTGCAAGGATAAGAGTTACATATAACAGACCTCAAAATATTCCCTTCAGAGAAATTAAACAATCAGGACATGGACT